GTGGTGGGCTTCCTGCTAGCTCTGGGGGGTTGAAACAGCTGAAGATGTGTTGTTCATTATTCACTGTGAAAGTCAGTGGTGTCTGTGAGTGCAGATGTGAGAGCTGTGAGGAATTTTTGGAAACTCTGGATAAGCTGATGGTGGAGGAAAATCAGTTGCCAGGGCAAATATTCAACACGGAGGACACTTCCCTGGTCAGGAAACGGACGCCTAAAAAGACGTTCATCCATAAGGAGGCTTGTCAATGCCAGTTGTCAAGGCTTTTAATGACAGGACTGTGTGTTGCTTGGGGACGATGTTGAAAGCTACAAATTGAACCTATATGTGATCTGGCACAGTGAGAACCCAAGCTCTTCAAGAATATCAATAAGCACACACTGCCAGTGTCCCACAGGAGCAAAAGTGCATGAACCAGACGACTAGGCTGCTGGGGCCGTATGCAGGGTGCTGGAAGGGACATGCAGGGTGCTGGAAGGGACATGCAGGGTGCTGGAAGGGACATGCCGGGTGCTGGAAGGGACATGCCGGGTGCTGGAAGGGACATGCAGGGTGCTGGAAGGGACATGCAGGGTGCTGGAAGGGACATGCCCGGGAGGGGCTGAGCCAAAGCTCCCGCCACTTCAGGACAGAGCTGCCTCTGCTCTCGCGTCTTCGTTCTTGGAAGGCAGCAGCATGAAGAAGTAGGCTCCTTCGAAAATTTAGGGCACCAGGGACATTCAGTGACATGAGTCCAGAGACAGGGTGATAGCCGTCTTCACACGGGCACCCACACCCCATGTCGGCAGGGCTCTCTGTGGTGTCTGCACTTGGCCGTGGAGACAACCACATCTCTGCAACTGAGGCGTCAATTCTGGCCGTGACCCCCCAAGCCCGTGACACTGCCACATACCCCTTAATGAATTCCTTTTCTGCACAAACAGAACTGTGTAGAAGAGAATGTTATTTATAGTTTTTTGTGTGTGTTTTTTTCAAAAAATTAACTTGACTGTCAAAGCCAGTGAGGCTGACCGCTTTGACTTGTGGGTTGTCCCAGTGGCTGGACGAGAGGAGATTCTTTCCGGAACCCCCAGTCTAGCCAGGTTCCTTTGTCATGTGCTTTTGAGACCTGCAGTCAAAGCACTTTTTTTCATTTTTCATATAACTGTTATGTGATTAATTCATTGACTTGAGTCCGTCAAAAGACTAAAAATCCTGAGATCAGGGACACTATGTCTATTTTAGTTCACCAATACTTATCACCTGATATTTAGTAGGTGCCAAATAAATGTTAGTTGATGAAAATAAAAGCACTTACCAAATGAATCAAGTCCTGCTCTTTACTTTTTTATCCTGCACTTACCTTTATTAACATATCTAACACATTCTATTTACATTTTCTATTTATACATTTGCACACTCAATTAGATTATGAGCTCCTAGAATGTCAACATTATTTCTCAGTTATTTAAAAATCCACAGAAGGTATTCAATAAATGTTTGTTGAACTGATCTGGGCCCTGAACTGGGAATTAGTATTTCTTCCATGTATGTTAGGTGGCTTACTTAGCTTCTCTGTGATCTAAATTTTTTTATCTGTGAAGAAGTTATTCTAGAAATGATCTCTTCCTGTTAAAAAGCTAAAATTTATATAATTCTAAATGCAAAATACATTGTCATATTTAAAACCACTAACAACATCTATTAAGCAATTTAAATTTAAAAAGGGGGGGGGGCCTTCAGGGTAAATTTGAGGATGTGGGAAGAAATTTTATTAAAATATATAGGATGGAAAATTTCTCAATTATTTGATTTTTACCCAAAAGAATTATAAATAATAAAATGTTTATTCACAGAAGCTAAACTGGATAACCACAGAGTTTATGCTCTTTTGGGGCCATGAAAAAAAAAAAATCCCTAAAATGTGTGTGTATTTCTTAAAACTTATCATTGTAGGATATAAAGTAGTTTGTACTTCTTGGGAACTTGAGAAATGTTATTATACCTGCTGAATACTGTATACAAAGATTTGAAAATTTCCTTTAGGAATTTACTGTCAGACCCAAAAAAGTATATTAGACATTTGGGCACATTGGACCATTTAGGATACTCCCTTTCAACAAATTTCACCCTTGGTAAAGAATAAAATACATGTATATTTGCATAATTCAGCTTTAGCTTTCACCCTGCTCTTACAGATTTAAATTTAATATTGAATCTACAAAGTGCAACTATTGGGAAATCTAACTCACACACAGAAAAATATCTGGAAATACTCTATTCAACATGAAATAATATTTTCCCCATGCAGAAAAAATTCCCTATTTAATTTTATTGCAAAGTAAATAATCCATAAACATTAATTTACTGAAAAAGTACAGTATTTAGTGTCATTTGCTCCACAGCCTGAGAATAATTTTTATAAATCAAACAGTTCATCAAGATGTCCCAAAGAAACATAATGAACAACTTACTTTCTTTTGGAAAAATAGAAGAAAGCATATTGCCTCCAACACCTTTCAACCTCTGCTTCCGACTGGCCACTGAAGACCTGCACAGAGGCATGTAAAAGGTCGCCGCAAGAGGTCAGTGTGACCAACGCCAGCGAGAACCACGGGCCTCTACAGGTCACCTAGACCATCAGTGGAGGACATGTCGCTGCTTGAGAGTCACTCTTTGAAGATCGTTGCAGTGTGTAAGCAGGTCCCTTTTTGGTGTCTAATTTGGGGGGGGAGCAGTAAATATACCAAACTTTTACTATTCGATCTTGTTGCCTCTAGAAACTTAGAATACATTGCCCACATGAAACCCAGTCGCAAGCAGGAAGGAAGATCAGATCGTTTGGGGAAAGGAGAAGAGACGCTTACTCCTGGGCGGAGCAGGCCAGGGGACCAGAGAGAGGCTCCCTTGACTTTCATGCTTGGGCCTATTGGCATCGCCGTGGTGGGGAGAGGGAAGGAAGGGATGGGGAGGGATAATCGGTGCTTAAAGGAAGAAGAAGACAGCAAAAATGAAACGAACAATTATGCCAGAGACAACTTATATGTTTTACGGATTAAAGTTGATCAAAATACAAAATAAAAAGTACCGAGGACAGGCTGTAACCTGGGGTGGGGGGAGGGAAGTGGGACAGATGTGAGGGATAAAATAAAACAAAGGGAGCTAGTTTAGCAATCAAGTGGGTGGACAGAATGAAGATGCAGACGGGGTGAAAATGACTCTAGTTTGTGGCTTTTAATGGGAGAGAGAGGACGACACAGCCGCTCTGATTGACAAGGCAGTGCAGGGCTATGCAGGGACGCATCCCACTGTTCTTGCACCGTCGGAGGATGTGGGATCTCCACCGCAACTTGTCCTACGTTTAAGGTGATATGACTCAAGAGGGTGGGCAGGTCCAAGGAAAACTACATTGCTTGCCAAAGTGCTTACTCTCATGTGGGGTCAACACTTACCATCTGAACCCTTGGCTGCTCCTTTCCTGTCCTTAACCTCTGTCCCTACGTTGCCTGGTGGTCGGGCACTCAGCCAACTGTTTTGGGGTGCGTGGGGAAGCCAGGACACAGGATTCAAAAACAGTTTTATATACACATGCACTGAAGCATGCAGCCACAGACATAAACTGTCCAAAGCGAGAAGTATCAGAATGACATGTAAGACACTGTTTCATGAACACCCTTTTCAAGTTGTTTTTTCTTTCGCAAAATGACTTCTGTTTTCTGCACGCAACTCATATGAAAAATCTCTATTACCTCTTGCATTTATTTCACAGTATCATCTCATACACAGCTCAAGATCTTGGTAAATGAAAGCAAATGTTCGTTATTACCTCTTTAGTTGGTCATCTGTCTTCTCCAGCGGTACTAAATATGAAAACAACATAATCAACCCATTTTGTTTTTAACAGCAGACTACAGAAGTGCTTCCTGGAGGACCCATTTAAGTGGGATGTCCTCATGGAGAAGCGTGCCCAGCCTGCAGAGACAGACACGAGTGCACCTCGAGAAAACGGCACTGCTCTCAGAATGAGCCTCTACTGCCAGCTCCTGTCATGAGCTAAGTAACTCCACTTCAGGGTAGACAGCAAATATCTAATTAACACCAATATCTAATTGCTTAACTGAACAGGCAGCAAATAATGCCAAAGGGAAGAAATTAAACCGCAGTGAAAATAGGCAGGAAAATACTCAGGAGATTATTTGAGAAATGTGATCATATTCCTAAGTATCCTTGTCTGTAATGTGCTTGGCTAAGACATCCTCACTTCAAAGAGTTCTTGTCCTGTGAAACAGTAAAAGGAAATTCTTCCGATGAGAGAGAGGGGGTGGTATTCATCCGGAAGACTGGGTAACTAATCGGATCCTGGTATGTCTATTATTCCTGCCTTAGGAGTGCTCTGAATCCATTAATCTGGTCTGACTCTATGCTTAGATTAAAGCTAAAATAAAATAAGGATAAATAAATGAGCAGGTCTTCACCAGTGAATGTACTTAATCAAATATGGCTCATTGAATTGTCAGCCAATAATCTAGACCTGGGTCCGGAAATGATCCAATTTAAATTTCTTCTCCTGACATCAGATTCCATTTTTGTCAGCAACGCTTTAAAGTGAAATCTTCATGGAGAATTCTGAATAAAAATCTTACGTGGAAAGTAGACGGAGAAGATAACGTCCCAATCAGGAGAGTTACATGGACACTACATGGTTTCAGAGGCTACTTCCTGCGGCCAAGACGGCCTGCTCTCTCTGGCGGGCTGTGACCTCCTTCTCCTTCGACGTCCTGCTCACTGGAGAGCAAGCCTCAGCTCACCCATTTGGCCTCAGATAAGGCGATCCAGAATTCCCCACACGATGTGAGGGCCCCTGAGAGCTACGGAGGTCTACACTTGCTGATTCAGGCTGTGCATCTCTTACCGTCTTTTCCAACGATCACTTGGAATTGGCAAGGGCCGGCTGAGCGCTCAGCTTCTCTGAGATTGGGCACCGTGACGTGTCTGTGCTTGCCTCCAGCATCCTTTGGCTATCGCGGTTAGTGCTCATTTGTACTTTCAATGTTCAAAGGAAAGAAGAAATGGAAAGTTACCATAAACCAATAATTAACAGCGTAGATTATTGGTTATGAAAACTTTGGAAGGGATCTCAAAAATCATAAGATCAAATCTTACATCCAGTTATGAATCTTCTTTAAAATATTTTTGGAGGAGTTTTTTCAATCTGTTTTAAAATCAGGTTGAAAAAAATAATAATAAAGCCCACTACCTCAGACAGAAATCTGTTTTACCATTTTCCATCTCTATTGAGAAAGGTCTTTCTTAAAGGAAGATGGATGCTCCCACCCTTTAACCCAAACCATGTGCAATTATTTATATATCAATCCTTCAAATAGTTAAAATATACCATTTCTCCCCATAGCCTTCTTTTCTTCAAGCAGATCTCCCTGCACTTTTTTCTATATATTTTATAACGACATCCACCCAACAAGGCCACTGTGAGTACTAAATCAGTTAACGTCCCATACAACATCTGGACGATAGTAAACATTTGCACAGTTGTTCAAAAGATCAAATTACTAGTACGGAAAGCTCTCTGGGTCTTATTTTCTCCATCTATACTTTGGAAAAAATTAGAAATTCTCTTTGGAAAATTGTCTAATCTATAAATGTCAATATCCTACTCAAACTTGTTGACAGAAATAAATATAGTCCTTCAATAGACTAGTGGTCAGAGAAAAGTTCTGCACTGTACTCTTTGGGGTCACTACTTGGACATTCCCTGTTTGTCCGTACATTTTTGTGTGCAGTAAATGGCCCATCATTTTGCTAGCCTTTTTCGCAGCTAGAACAAGTGGCTGGCTCCCTGGAATACCCTACATTGTTTTCACTTGAACTATTACTAAGCCCAGCTTCTCCTTTTTTCTTATTTTATATTATTTTTTTGAAGAATACCTTATTGATAACATTTCAGTTATGAGTTGTGGAAACTACTAATCAAAATGTACATTTCCTTTATCCTCTATTTCTGTCATAAAAAATTATGTATCATAGGTCAAAAAGTTCTTCTCTTTTATTCAAAAGAAAATAGACCACAGAGGGGTAAAATATATTCTGTACTAACAGCAAATATTTTTGCAAAAATGATTCTTAGAGGAATAATAGTGGCTAATGCTTCAATTTAAAGTAGGACTTTGCTTGTAGACACTTTAAAATCACTTTGCAAAAGAGAATTGTTTTATATCAATTGTTTTGCATCATGCAAACCCAGTACTATTTAAATACAAAAATAAAAAACTTTCTTTAAAGGACTCCAATTACTGTTTGCCAGTGATATATACAAGGCTCTTTTATCATTGGTTTACATAGGCAATGATCCAATATCTTTCAAAGAGTATAACCTCCATTTTCCAATCATCAGCTGAATTTATTAAAATAACTAGCTTAGAATACTAAAAATACTCAAAACTTTTATGTGTACAGAAATATGAATCTTTTAAAGTACTGAGTTAATTTATTTTTATATTTAAAGAAAACAACATACTATAAATAGAAAAAAAATATTAAAACTTGGTGTTAACTTCAAAAGGAAATACTTCTAGCCCAGTTGGTGTGTCTCAGTGGATTGAGCATCATCCCATGGACTGAGAGGTTCTGGCTGGATTCCCAGTCAGGGCACATGCCGGGGTTGCAAGCTAGATCCCCATTAGGGGTGTGTAAGAGGCAGCCGATAGATGTTTCTCTCTCTCTCTCTCCCTTTCTCTCTCTAAAAAAAATCAATAAAAACATATTTGAAATAGGGGGAATACTGCCAATGTAATAACAATACTATCAGGTCTGCAGTTTTCTCTGGAACAGAGAATTCCACTATTCACACATCTGAAATGTAACAGGTGAGTGGGTTTGCCTAATCTTTTAGTTGTGAGTTTTATTTATGACTGTCTGAGGCCTGCAGCTGTTGATATGCTCAACAAAATATATGAGAAAAAACAGGTGGTCACATCTGATTATTGATTCCATTGATTATAAATTATGAAGACTAGGCAAATTGTTGGACTGATTGGAGAAAAGAAAAACATATTCCTCCATCTGTGAAGTTTTAGATGTACAGGAAATTTATGATGGTGCTTAATCATGAGGATGCATCTATCAATCTATTCAACACAGGCATGGAGACATTCTTCTGTAGGTTTCAGACAATCCTCTTATGTTTCTATGAGGTGAATGGCGATACTATCTTTTTTTAAAAAAAAAACTTTTTTCTTTATTGATTTTAGAGAGGAAAGGAGAAGAAGAGATAGAAATATCGATGAGAGAGAACATCAATCAGCCACCTCCTGCATGCCCCTCACTGGGAATCAGGCCCACAACCTGGGCATGTGCGCTGACCGGGAATCGAACAGGCGACCTCTTGGTTCATGAGTCGATGCTCAACCACTGAGCCACACCGGCCAGGCAAAGGTGAAACTATCTTTAGTATCCAAAAGATAGACTTTTACCCCGAAATACATATGATATTTCATGACATTTCACCTTTTTGTGACATTTACACCAATAGCATTCATAATGTAAGCCTCTATACTGTGCAAAAGCTTCAACAGGGCAACTATTTTGTACTTATTTTATAACTCTCTTTCTCCAAAAGGAATTAAATATGACATTTTATGATGGATTAAGCAATATAGCAAAATTAAAATAAAATTTAAAATAACTATAAAAGATGAGGCCACAGGGTAAAAATGAGTAAAAATAAAAGGCAGACTAAGAAGTAAAGTCAGTTCAAGGAATTCGTACCACATAATTCTAATTGTTACTCAGAAGAGTAAAACAATTGTTTATAAGCTTCACAGTTAAAGTATTTTTTATTGTTCTCCAAAATAACAACGGTGCTTAATTCCTTAACCAGAAAGTAATTTCCTCCATGAGACCACTCACTGGGAGAACACTGTGCAATGTAATATAATGAACATTATTCTTAGTTCACCTAGCAATGCATTTATAAGGCTGCTCTTTTTTGAAGGCCATCGTATTAGCCTAAGACGGCAAACCAAAGGGGGGTTGAATAAATGCAATTTTCAGCAAGAGATTGGGTTGAAAATGAAATATAACATTTTATAGGACATGGCTTCCTGATGTTGGTACATGAGATCTGTTATGATTTAATATTACATGCATAAAGTCGTTGATAGTACTTTCATTAAATAAAGTACTCTGGTCATTAACGTACATGAATAAAAAGTTCTCGTGCAATGTTTTCTTCACATGTCTCTTAGATTAAAATATACATTAGATCTGACGACAAGATCCAAAGAATGATTTGGCTTGAGTAATATCCGAGAATGTGCAAGAGCCCACGTTGCTAAGTACCATCACAGTCCTGTGTAAAAATGCTGTTGTGCTGGGTGTAAAGTGCTTCAAAAGCAGCAAGGGTGGAGTCCTATGAAAATGTCTGGGGGGAGCAACCTTGAGGATGCTCAGAGATTTTCAGGGAGGGTGGTTTTGCAGACCCGAAAGATGAGTCAATGCTGGCCAGACGCAGATAGGAGGAAAGAGGATTCCAGGCAGGGGAGAGAGTACGTGCATAAAGCAGAGGGCAAAAAAAACCCAGAAACAATGATTCAAAAGAATGTATGCACCCCTATGTTCACTGCAGCGCCATTTACAATAGCCAAGATTTGGAAGCAGCCCAAGTGCCCATCGATAGATGAGTGGATAAAAAAAAGCTGTGGTAAATACCTGGTCGGTGTGGCTCAGTGGATTGAGCATCCTCCCATGGACTGAGAGGTCCCAGTTCAATTCCTGGTCAGGGCACATACCCCGTTTGCAGGCTTGATCCCCATTGGGGGACGTGCAGGAGGCAGCCGATCCATGTTTCTCTTTCATATCAATGTTTCTATCTCTCTCCTCCCTCCTTTAAAAAAATCAATAAAATCATATTTTTTTAAAAAGCTGTGGTACATATACACAATGAAATACTATTCAGCCGGGGTGGGTAGGGGGGAGGAAATCTTACCCTTTGCAGCAGTATGGATGGACCTGGAGAGCATTATGCTAAATGAAATAAGCCAGTCAGAGAAAGGAAATACCATATGATTTAACTCTTATGTGGAATCAAATGAACAAAATTGACTAACAAACAAAATAAAACCATTCTCATAGAGAACACACTGAAGGCTGCCCTAGCAAATTAATACAAGTAATGTGCCCAGAGTTTATAAGGGTGGACCATTAAGAGTTTATTCTGTCAAACAAGAAGCTAAACTTATTTGCCTTAAAATAAGTTCATGTTTCTTCTATGCCTCTCGTTTTCTTATCTGTAAACAGCCCATGGATCGTGTATGCCATCATTAGTTATTAGCTGTTCCTGGCGGTCACACATTGAACTATATGTTGGACTCTGGAGGCAGGCACTCTAAGTACGTCAGCAAACAAAATAGATACAAACTTTTACCTTCATGAAGTTTACATTGTAGTGAGAAAATGCAGACAATAGAACAAATAAGCAAACGAGGTAACATATTGGCCAGTAATAAGTTCCATGAAAAGAAATAAAGCAAAACATGAGAAATGGAAGGGCTGAGGTCGGGTATGGCAATTCTTGGTGTGTGGTCCAGAAAGGCACCGGGGAAGGAGGCATGGAGTGGGCCATGGGCACCCCTGGAAGACAGCCTGCCTCGTGCCAGTGCCCTGAAGCAGGAGCCTGCGATGCTCGGACAGCAGGAAGACCTGTGTGGCTAGAGCGGGGTGAGGCAGAGAGCAGCAGGAGATGAGGTCAGGTTGTGCAGGTCCTTGAAGGGCTCTGGCTTTGCTCTGAGTGACATGGCAGGTCACCGAAGGCTTTCAGCTCAGGACCGACAGGATCCACACATTTTTATCAGGTCACTCTGGCCGGTGTGTGAGAGTAGATTTGATGTGGGAGGGGGAGGGAGAGGACGGACAGAAACTGGGAGACCAGTTAGGAGGCGATTTCCAAAGTTCAGTCTGGAGACCACTCAGCAGGCTCTGCCCAAGGGTTGTGGGTGGAGGAGGTGAAACACGGGCTGTGCATATTTGGACAGGAGAGGTGACAGGTTTCCCAGATGGATTACACGTGAATTCTGAAAGAAGGAAAGGAGTTCAGACGACTCTGAGCTTTGCAACCTGAGCACCGGGAAGCACGTGTCCATAACCTGAATCGGGAAAGACTTTGGGAGAACTGGGTCAGGGACGGAAAGAACATTCAGTGTTATGGTTGTCCCAACTCTTCCCTTATTATCTTGCCATTGTTACTGTTTTAATGAGAAGTAATTCCTCATTCCTCGCCTCTTTGTTCTTAGTCCCACCTCCTACCAGATTTCCTGATTCCCCTAACAGGTAGAGTCACTCACAGCACACCCTCCAGTCAGTCAGTGCCCTACCTGTCCGTTTCCGACTGCGCTGAATGTTCAGCACGGCCTTCTTCCTGGGACCGTAACCTTGACTCTCTCTGCCCTCTGATACAGTCAACATTCCTTCTCGGTCCTTCCCATTGTATCTTTCTAAAAGAAAACACCTGCTTCACCTTCTTTCAGATATTTCATTTTTCTTTGCAGTTTCTCATTTCAGCCCTCTTCTTCCACTTATTTCAATTTCCATTAATCCCCCCACCAGTTCTTTTCCACTAACTACACTGTCCGCTCTCATTCCGTGAATTCTCCAATGACTCTGCAACACCAAAATACATCTCCTGACCCACCTTCCTAGCGAATCCCTTTCCTCTGACCCTCTGTTGAAATCCTTTGCTGTACAAGAGTCATTTGATGTCTCTGGGTCTTAGTTTATTCCTTTGAAAAATAAAGGAATAAACTAGATAACCAATAAGAAAACAGTTTGTTCTTCTGAATTGCAGACAAAATTAATAACATTTGTTTTTAAAAATCCTATACACAGAGATCATTTTTAATGCTTTTATTTAGCATAAAAATTGCAGGTGATTTTAAAATACGTTGGATAGCCCATTCATTGAAGGCAAGACAGGTTATCCCAAAACATCCTTTAATAGCCCTAAAATAATTTTGCCTATCAGAGCAAAACAAATCCACTCAAAAAGGCTTTTTTCTATAATGGAAATTACATCACTTGATTTCTTATACATTAAGGTAATTTACACACACACACACATATATAATTAGTTAGAAATATTTTGTTTTTAAGACTAAACTTTATACAACACATTCTGACTATAAAGGGATTACTTTAATAAAAATAGTTTTCTCTAGCTCTTTTTAGCAAGGGAGCTGGGCTTCACATTATTCAATCTTGGCTTATGAATCTAACTTTGTAAAACTGGAGGAGAAATGTGTCTTGTCTAGCCTCCTCTGCCCAAATCAAATGCCACCTCCCCTGAGTCCCACAGTTATAAGACATCTTTCCCTCCCCTGAACTCCACCGGGACTCACTTTGCATTCTTCCTAGTCCTCATACTTCCTAAATCAGACTCATATCTGTCAATAAATATTTATGAAAGGAAAGAAGGAGCGGAAAAGAAAATAAGCATTGTAGTTTAATAGGGAAAGTATGGGCTTTGAGTCAGACAAACCTAGCTTTGTATCTCATTTCATCTATTTATTCTCCGTTACCCTACACAGTTCATTTAGCCTCTCTAGGCCTTACTTTCCTTGTCTATATAGTGGAGATAACGAAACCTCTCTCACAGGGCACTGCGAAGGTTAAAAGCGATAAGAGCATAAAGTATCTAGCACAGAAGAGGCACCATGTGAGAGTCACTCCCCTGTCCCTGCTCTGGCGTGGCGTTCGTTCAATCCTGCATCAACGTCACTGAACACGGGCTGTTCCCAGGCTGTGAGCTCTGAAGGCAAAGTCTTGTTCATCTTTGTGTTTCCTGCAGAATCTAGGGTAAGGTAGTGAGTTGCACATTCTGGAGGGACAGTAACTGTGTATTGTATTCAGCTGAGTGTGAACTGGGATCCTTCCTAAACTGTGGAACAATGACCTATGGATTTGGGCTTTGGGGGCTTTTTCGGTAATACAGCGTGGGGCAAAAGTAGGTTTACAGTTGTTCATATGGAAAATAATGCCATAATGAATAAATAATAATACAAGAATAAATTGTTTTGCGTACCCACAACTGTACACCTGCCTTGCACCCTGGGCAGCTCCTCTTGTGAGCTAGCTCAGGCCATTTTGGCCTTGAGACAGCCCACCATGTTTTAAAATAGGTTGCACAAAATATAAGTGCTCTCCTAAATTCTTTGGCAACTGATCAGAATGCTGTTTTATTTCTCACGGTAGAGACTGCTGCAGAAACACTGACTTTTCTCTGAGAAAGAGAAGCAGATGTACCAAGTTTGCGGACACAACAAGTTCTATTGAAAAAGCACTAACTCTTGAACTCCAGCTCGTCCCTGGGTAGCCAAGGAACCTTGGAGAAGCATCGATGTTCAGTGAGCCTCCATCTAAACAAACAGTGAGAACACAAGTCTGCGTTGGGTGTTACACACAGCGTGGGTAGGTACGGAAGGCGACGGCTTGGCACAGGCTTCGAAGCAGAATGCAAAAGCAAGGTCTAGAAAGCCATCGATTCGGTCGCGCTGGGCTCTTCGTCACAGTCCAGGCTTTTACCCCCCTTACGTCCTTCTTTGGCAACTGACCAGCTCTCGTTGTATAATTCCGGTAGAAAATGTGTGTGTGTGTGCGTGCACACACACAGGTGATGACACCTGCGCCCACCTGTCTTCTGCGAGCCACGTCACAAGGCAGCAAGGAGCTGTAGGGTGACTTCACACACAGCGAACGCGGCGTCTGAGGGGCGAGGGCTGGTCCGCTGGCCGGGGCGGGGACTGCACCTGCTCTCGTCCTGTCTGACGGCGGAACAGCACTGCACGCCCAGCTCCCCGTGGCTTTTTCTCTCGTGTCCGGCACAGCTTCCTTTGTAAAATATTTCAGAGGCGATACAGCTCGACCAACGCGTAACAGAAGTCGGCTGCAGACTACGGGAGGTGGGTTGGGGGCCAAGCCAGCCACCTGTCTTTCCAGGTGCAACCTTTGTTTCTAGGTCATTGTTCTACCAACACTCCAGGCTTCCCAAGGAAACTGGGGGCGAGGGGAGGCAGAGGGGCCACCTACACACTGCATATGGAAGAACGCACCTTCCCAAATTTCTGGAAAAAATCTTCTTGCGCCCGGGCCAGGGCGTCTTCGTCAATGTACACGGCCGGCCTTTTGGCCACGAGGAAGTACTGCACCTTCCTCAGCTTCCAGCCCAGCACGTAGTGCAGCCAGCCGCACACGGCCGCCGTGGACCGGCCGACGCCCGCGTTGCAGTGCACGTACACGGTGTGCCCGTTCTCCAGCAGCGCGTGCAGGAGGCACACCGCCTGGGGCAGCATCTGCACCCGGCCTAGATGGAGAGAGCACAGCACAGAGCGTGAATGACGACACCCACCACCCAGCACCCAGAGGGGTGGCCACGCCACGGGGGCAGGGACCACACAGCGGGCTTCGTTCCTTTGTTGTGCTTTTAATATTTCATTGGTTTTCAGAGAGAGAGGAAGGGAGGGAGAGAGAAACATCAATGTGAGAACTGAGATGGGCTGCCTCCTCCACGCCCCCCACCAGCATCCAGCTGCAGCCCAGGCATGTGCCCTGACCGGAATCGAACCAGCCACCTTTCAGATGACACCCAACCACCCGAGCCACACCAGCCAGGGCCACGCCTTGTTTTGACGGAAAAGATGAGACAGTATCAAATCCTGCTAACATGGTAATAAAGCAGAAAGGGGCCCTCAGAGGCAGTGGGGCAGCTCTGAACTGTCACTTGATTTGGAGCTTCTGCGCCCGAGCCATCTCCCTTCAAGGAGACGTTCATCATTGCCCGTCGTCAGAAGAGTGGACTTTCACATCTACCTATTTGTACAGACGGGGCGGAGGTTTAGGGGATTTCAAGGAACCTGACAGGTCCTGTCAGCTCAGTTTCCTTTCATCCAGAAGGATCTTCCAGGTACAGGTAACACGAATTAGTCAATCCTGATTAGAGACGTCAATCTTATTCATTCAACATGTGTTAGTTTCCCTTTGTCCAATGGAATGACTAACGTTAACCGATACACGTGGGATATTCAACAAATCGTTCCTTTATTCTCTCATGTTGCAGTGTATGTTAAAACTAGTTCAGTTTTTCCATTATTGGGCAATTATAATTACAGTTATTGAGCTGGGTGACTACTTTTTCGAGTACGGGACGATTCCAGCCCCTTCTCACCGCAGCGGGAAGGGGTGTGCGGGCTCTGCTGAGCCTGCTCTCGAGAACCCCTAAACCCATCAAACCCCTGGAGCCTGGAGTTCCTTCCACTGACAGGTTCTCAGTCAAAGACCGTCAGTGGACTGGGAGAAGGGGTGGAGGATGGACAGTGCGAATTACTTCAAAAAGGGATGAAAGAGGGAAACTGCAGAGTCCTAGGTCACAACTTCCTGCCTGTAATTGGACCTTCTCCAGCTCCTCTCGGTCCTCAACCACACAGAGACATGCGGGGTGTCCTCCGAAGCCGCAGCGACCACCCCGCAGCCCACTGCAGGCCAGGGAGGCAGAAGCCCCTCCCTCAGACGTTTCACTGTAGGTTTCTCCCGGATGAGCCACTCACATAAGTTTGGACTTCTGTCTTTCACTGTGTTGTCACAATACAAGGGCCCCGAAGCAGCCAACACAGCACATGCCATCGGACGTCAGCACCTGAGAGGGACAGATGCTACCAGAGACTTCGGCGTGGCCTGAGGGCCCTCAGGTACCACTCCACCCAGGGCTCCACCTCAGCCTCGGAGCCACCTCGCTGGGAGCCAGCAGCAGGAAATCTACAGGAAACCAGGACAGTCTTCTAGTTCTGCTGCTGGTGCTCTGCTAATCCCTCTCACTACCAGGGTGCAAAAAGCAATTTCAAGGTTTTTTTTTTACCTGGGATTCCTTTAGGCAAGGCACATTTGGGGGTCCCTGGGCCCCACCTTTCTTAGTGTTGCCTGCCTGGTCCCCAAGGGCTACTGAACTGGAGACACGCCAGCTCCTACATGTTGTGTGATTGCTCAGAATCCACACTGAGCCATAACTGTGATGGATGTACACCGGGGTGCTTGGTTTCGCACGCTCTGCGGTGAGACTGGGTGGCCTGCCGCACCGTCAGTCATGTGTGGCACTCTCCCAGGGCAGGGAGCATCACTGGAGGTGTAACAAGGGGAGAACACGGCTCGTCCCAGGGCGATGCCTCCCTGTGTGTCCCCAGGAGAGTATCACGGGCAGTTGATCCACTGTTTGAGCTGGGGGCCAGGGGAAGCCACACCCCAGGTGCGTCTGAGCGACCCGCTGACAGGGTGAGGCTGGCTCAAGTTCAGGGCTTCTGTTCTGCTGGGGGTGTCAGAGTCTTACTCTGAGTTGTGCTACTGGGAAGGGGATTCCTGGTGATGGATCTGGAAGCTGGCTTCCTCCTGCTCCTCCCTGATCCACCTCTGCAGGTTCCCTGCTTACCACGGCCTCTCCAGCTGTCCTGTGCATAGCCAGGAAATGAACAGAAATATGTTTAATGTGGGTTTTTATTAAATGCCAAGTATGCAAACAATGGTCATTTGCAGGAGGAGCTGCTACAGTCAGAGTCCCAGCCCCCCCCCCCCCCGCCCCCCCCGTGCTCAGCCGCTGTAGCATCAGCTCAGGGATCACGTGACCAGTCAGGACTCCTCCCTTGACCTTCTCTCTGGCCAGAGGTTCCCGGAGGAAGGCCCTGCACCAAATGGACCAAATGATGCAATACCTCCCCTTTTCCGTTTAGTCTGCCAAAGATGCTTCAAGATGCATACAAACAGTTGAGAAGTTGAAACTGTGGACAACAGATATGTGTTTTGAAGCTGAGAACAGATATGTGTTACTTTGAGGGTCTATGATCTCAGACACATGGAGGCTCCGGAAGGCCCCCAGTTTAAACACAGGTTTCACACACCAGAGGTCTTCTCCTAAAGTCACTCGGCCATCCCACTTAAGAACTGGCAAACACATATTTAAATAACGTAATGAATGAACAAATAATGAAAAGGAGCACAGAGAAGCAGCAGGTCCAGGATGCCCACCCATTTCAGCCAGGCCTCAGCGGAGACCTTTTCTCTGATCTCCGGGGCTGCAATCACCCCTCGGGGCTGCAATCACCCCACCTGAGGCAGCTCCTCCTGCCTTCCGACCAGCCTGAGCTGTTCTGAGCTCGGAGCAGCAATAGCCCCTTACAAGCACCTCTCAGCAGTGATGGGCTTGGTAGTACTGCTATCCTGTTACATCTGAAAAACTGGGGCACAGAGGTTTTCTGAAGGTTATTCCCTTATGGCCACTTACACCCAGCCAGCCAGACGCCAAAGCCTCTGGTCTGACCCCTGTCCTACTGTCCTCCCCTCACCTGCCTGGTCAATGGTCTGCTGGCCTCCATGCGTTCAACCTGAATTCTCCATCAGTCCCTGTTCACCTGCCTGGTCATGCTCTGCCCTCGCCCCTGAGTGAGAGTCACATCTGGCCCGGGGTCAAGCACCTCCGCCACCAAGCATGTCACTCTACTTGGAAACCATTCTAGGGGGCTGAGCTAATACGTGACCCACCGAGGAATAAAAAAAGAACCAGGGCTCACCCAACAAATCCAGTGTCAACCAGAGTCCCCAATTTTTATGTTTCATGAACTTCAGCTCCATATAGAACTTAATTTGATGAAAAGTTTTTATTCTTTAAAACAATTATGCCTTGAGGCAAGACAGAAATGCAGACTTTTACATATAAAATAATCCGAATCTTAAATGTTGACAAAGTTAAAAATGTGAGCCCCTGTGCAGGTCCCACAAGATACTCCACCATCTGCAATTCTTCCTTCTGAACTTTCAATATGCCTTGGCTCTCAGGAGATGCTCATAAGGGATTCGGTAAGTACACGAATTAAAACAAAATAAAACAAAACCCAATAATACCAACTTGATCTGAGACACTATTAGACCCACAAAGGGGTCCAGGCTGGCCAGCAGGACCACCTGAGATTCATGAACAGCCCATGTGGCCAAGGGCCAGGCGATCTGTGATTCTTGAAGTCTTCTGTCCCCACCCACTTCTTAACTATTGACTCTGGGGAGACTCAGCTACCTCCCTGACAACTCATGACTTTGCCTCATTCCAGCGAAAGATGCGAAGGACAGACTGAAAGTGTGGTCGTCTGTAGGACGTGCGTGAAGAGCTCGTGTGAGCATGTACGGTGTCTGGAGCAATGTGCTGAGCCAGACTGCACTGAAATCCAGGCATGTCCCTGTTATTTACTTGATCCAGGTTACTTGAGTTTTTTTGTATATCAGTCTCCTTCTCTGCAACATGAAGACAACTACACCAGTCCAGACTCTTGTTGGGAGATATAAATGAGTTCATGTATGCATCTGCTTAGAAGAGTGACTAATAGATAATGGACTTTGTGGGGAAGAGGGCTGATGACGGAAATGTTTCCTGCCTAGGCATCCCGACCTTTCTTCTTTCCCCCAGAACAGTGTCGACAGAACGCCATAGGACTGTGCCATTGTTGCAGCCCTCTGCTGCCCCCTGCTGACATCTAGTCCATACTACTAGTGCAACTTGATTCTCTTGGCTTCAAATAGCTCCATTCCTTTTCCACAAGAACCCTGTTCTACCACCAGACTGAAATATAGATCACTCCTCTAAAATCTCACACCTCTGTGCCTTGGCCTATGCTTTCTTCCACCTGACGTGCCCTTCCTCTCTGCACAGGGACCTGTCAGGCCCACCTCCACGCCAAGACTCTCATGCCTGCCTGTCCTTCGTAGAAAGTGCTCCCCCCAACCCGTAACTCTCCTAGAGCACATCACTCAGCCTTTGTGTGCTGCAGTTAGGTTTGAACTTGTCTTATTGCCCCTTACCAATGGATCAAACTGCGCCTTATCGGTCTGTCTCTCCAGCAGTGCCCAGGCTGCATCACAGTTCTCTCTTCTCAAAGGCAGGCTCGGCCAGTACTCCCGGGTAAATGCGACCTCATTGTCACTGCCCTCCCCTGCTCTGCACCGCCTTTCTCCTCTGTCTCTCTGTAACGTTGCAGTAACCTCCTAACCGGCATCCAAACCCCTCTGAGCCCACCGCAACCATCCTCCACAGTGCTGTCGAGGTGCACTCCCAGAGGGAAGACAAGGGGATTCTTGACAGCTCCCAGCACTTTCAACTGCTTCTCGCCACTTTAGGGTAAAGTCTGAAGTCCGTATTGTGCCCAAATCCTACAGGACTCACTTCCCTGATCCTCTGGTCTGCAGCCACACAGGCCTATTTCCCGTTCCTACAACCCTCTGCGCTCTCTGCAACGGGGGTTCCCCAAAGCTGCTCCCCTGCCTGGGAGCCTCGCCCCAAACCCCACCCTCTCTTCGGATCTGAGTTCAAACTCTGCTTCCCCAGAGCACTCTCCTTGACCCCCTTCCTAGGCCTGACTGTGCGTGCTCTCGTAGCAATGTCTACGTATCTTTCTAACAACTCATCACAGTCTTTAATTTCTATTTGTAGTCATTTAATTCATGTTTGTCTTGCCTACAGGATTACAAGCTCCATGAGGACAGAAGTTGTCCTGCCTCTTTTCACTATTATATTCCCAGCCACTGGCAAAATGCCACACATATGGTAGACACCCAATAAATACATATTTCATGAATAACCAAATCAAAGGACCCATGCTAAAGAGAATTTTAGCTGAGTTGTCAAATGATACATATTAAATATATTAAATCCAAACCCTTTTCTTTATTCCATTTCTATCATTCATATTTAAATCAACCCGTTATAGACAGGAAGGTAGGTAGGCAGACAGGTAAATAGATAGATAGATGATAGATGATAGATAGATAGACAGGCAGGCAGACAAGCAAGGGCTCCTCTGAAACACATCTTACCAGGGGCTAGGATGATTCTGATGCTTACCTTCGGTGCTCATGTCTGGTGTTGGCATCCAGATGTAGACCAAGCCTTCTTCCTTGTATAGCTTAATCATAGTGTCTGGAGTCATGGGCTCCGGGTAGCGGTTACAGCCTGAGGAATTCTGTACAATATCCCATTCGGTCTGGAAATTCATGACGGCTGTCACCCCCAATTCATGCTTCAGTTTGATGGTTACGTGTTCCACCTGGCGAGGGCAGCTACCCAGCCAGATATTCGGTAGGATTCTAATGAGAACATAAGGAGTCAACTATTACTCTTACTGTTTTATGCCATTTTATTCACCGCAGCACACAGGTGTAGAATATATCCCAACCCTCCTTATTTTTACTTTTTCTGTGTGGTCTAGTCATGTAGAATGACTAAGACTGTATAAAGCATTTGTGTCTTAAATCGCATCCTAGAGGCAGATGGAAGTTTAGGTGTTTGAAGGGAGTCATGGTTAACCATTTACAGTCCACCCAGAATGGGTGGTGGGAGCTAAGAGCTCCTTTGTCCCTCTTCCAGGTTTATTGTAGATGGCTCACTGAAGACAAGTCAAGAAAATCTGCACTCTAATTTCAGAGTAAAAGAGAAGGGATCTCATGTACCACTGGGCATGAAATGACTATCTCTTTTTCTCTCCTTTTACTTGTTCTTTCTTTAAAGAATACTAAGTAATGGTGATAATAAAGGCAGCTGTTAACAATGACAACACTGGCAAATGCACAATAAATGCGAGTGGACTTTATGTCTAGTTACTGTAATTTACTTATTTTTGTCATTTATTTTGTATTGCAATGGCTATTCAGAAAATTTTTCACTGCTTCATGTACCCTTCATTTAAATGCTGCAGAGACTAGCCCGGCCAGCGTGGCTCAGTGGTTGAGTGTTGACCCATGCACCAAGAAGTCGCTGGTTCGATTCCTGGTCAGGGCACATGCCCAGGTTGTGGGCCAAATCCCCAGTTGGGGGGCATGCAGGAGGCAGCTAGTCGATGTTCTCTCTCATAAGTGTTTCTATCTTTCTTTCCCTCTCCCTTCCTCTCTCTCTAAAATCAATAAAGAAAAAAATTAAAAATAAAAAAATAAACGCTTATATTTTATATAAAATTCAGGTTTTTTCTTTCTTTCTTTTGGCTGTTGTTGTCACTGTTGATGTTAACGTAACTAGCCAACCGACTAATCCTCAGATGTAGCTATTCTCATTCCATCCTCAGTGAAATATCTTAACAACTCGGAGCATTGTCTTTCCAAAGGTGCATCCTACTTACTCCAGGAGAGAATAAACCAATTTTTGTTATTGCTTGGGTTCAAGTCTAATGGGTTACTAAGAATTTCCTTGTGGATTATTGTGAAAAATAAAGGAAATACAATTTAAAATAAAAAGTGAGAAACCCAGAAAAGACTTGGTGGTACTATGTAAAGAGGCACAGGACCCAAAGGCTTTTTCACTTTAAATCCTGACCCTAAGAATTTTCAGATAACCCACTGGGCCCAGTGGACTGAGAAAAAGACCATTAACAGGGACACTTTTACAGTGTCTCGGAGCTGTACTTGACCAGGACATTGCCCTCTGAGAATTCAGTCTTAGTGGGAATGGACACTTCATAACCCCCAGGTCATTGCCCCTTCCCTCTGGCTGTTGGGTGAGAATAGAAATCTACCTCTAGAATATACCCTAAGAAGCCTGAAACACCAATCAGAAAGAATATATGTACCCCTGTGTTTGTAGCAGCACTATTTACAATAGCTAAGATCTGGAAACAGCCTAAATGTCCATCAGTAGATGAATGGATAAAAAAGCTGTGGTACATATACACAATGGAGTACTATGCAGCTGTAAGAAAGAAAGATCTCTTATCCTTTGAGATGACATGGAGGGACCTGGAAAGTATTATCCTAAGTGAAACAAGCCAAACAGAGAAAGAGTATCATATGATCTCACTTATTTGTGGAACATAATGAACATAACAGTCTGAGGAATGGGGTAGTCCCAGAGACGTGGAAGTGGGGTACAGACTGACAATCCTCAGAAGAGGAGGTGGTGGTGGAACGATAAACCACAGAACGTATATGCCTGTGTCATGAACAACGGACATGGATAACAAAGCTGGGGACAGGGCGGGGAGGGTTGGGGAGGGGGGAATCAGTGGGGGGGAAAGGAGAAACATCTGTAACAAAAATAAATAAAATAATTAAATATTTAAAAAATAAATAAATAAAGCACAAAGCTGACCAGCTCAAAAAAAAAATTCTCTTTAAAAAGCCAAAAATAAAAAATAAAAAAAGAAGAAGAAGAAGAAAGAAATCTACCTCTATCTGTATGTTCCATCCTCCCTTCCATAATACCTTAAAAACTCCTCCATCAATAGCTTGCCGGCTGCCTGGTAGCTAGTAGTGCTGGCTGCCGTATTATACCTTGGGCTTTCACTGAGCACACTGAAGTCCCCTAGGCTGGAGGAGGATGAAGTGGATGCCTTAGTTATAGAACCAAGAAATAGAGCCTTTTGATCAACACTGGATTTTTGCTGGCAAAATCTTGAAGTAGACAGGTAAAATATTAAAACGTATATCATGACAGGCAAGCTGAATTCCAAACATTACCTGGAGTTCACTTGACTACTGTATCCTTTGAGTGGGTAGCACTTAGTATTTAGCTAGTACACAAATGCCAAAGTAAAGTGGTTAGTGTGCACAATTTGCATAAAGACCAAAGAATAATTCATACAGGTAAGCAAAGGGGAAATCGGGACATTTGAGCCTCCAAAACAAGAAATCGGATCCCAAAGCAGGGTGAGTACATAGAATCACATTGTGTTGCTAAAGAAAGGCATTGGTCTCTCCTCCCATTCAGCCATGGTCTTCAATACTATTTAACTGGGAACCTCAGACACTCAGGACGCACCGAAGATAAACAGACCCAATGTATTTCCCACGTCAATTTTCTAGTGGAAATAAGCCCTTGAAATACACAATCACAATTCTCACACACATATAAACACCACTTTCTGTATCAGATTATTTGCAACGTTTTGATAACATAATTAATTCTTCCTCGAGAAATGCCAGAAGTCAGAGTCTATATTTAAGAAATGAATATAAGACAATTCCTGATTTTTTTTGTGTGTGTGCGTGTGTGGTACGTGACCCTAGCCAGAACCGAACCCGGGACTCTCTGGTCCGTGGGCCGACACTCAACTGCTGAGCCAAACTGGCCAGGGCCAATTCCTGATTTTTTTAAAGCAAGATGTTCTGAACCTAGGAGATAGATAACTAAAGATAAATTTTGAAGACAAAACACTGTATTGAAGGATAGAGGATTAAAGCTATAAAGTAAATTTACTGAACCATTATATGGGACATGGAGGCAAAATACTGGGCTTGTTAGAAACACACCGATCAGTGGCTTCTGCTTCATCAGACAGCTCAAATGCCCTTTATAGTCATCCTATTCCAGTTTGTTGTCTCTAACAGCAGGTGATAGGTTTCTGGTCATATGATACACTAGACGTAAAAAAGATGCATGGCTTACTTTCCAAAGAGTAATTAAACTCTTACTTATCCATTCCAAAGAGAATAATCAGACACCATCAGAAATTAGTTTTTACTCGTTCCATCTTAGTGTTAATCTCCTACTGGTGCTAATGATACTTTAAACAACTTTTAAAATTAAGATTTTTTTTTTTTAAGGAAAAATGAAAATTGTTGAAATACAAAATTTAGGGAATAAAACTCTAGAAAGGCAGTTTTCACACAAGACATACCAAACTTCAAAGAGGTAAAACTGGAATAAAATATATAGCTTCTGTTGTCAATTACATTGTCAAACTTCTGGAGAATTATGAGTAACCCACTGTCGATCTTGAGCTTTGCCAGAGCTCTCCGGAGCTCTGCTGGAGATGGTTTGGGAAAATCGAAGAGAGACCGCTGTACCGAATGGGTGCTGACACAGCCAGCCCAGGACGGACGCTCCCGACCCTGCATTTGCTTCACGTCACGTTTGGTGCTTTTATAAAAACTGCCCCAGGGTTTACCCGACAGATAGATCCTCATAAAATGGCTCTGGAGTAAGGTCTAAGAATCTGTGGATTATTCTCCCTTAGAAATTAACCAGATGATGTACCTTACTAGTTCAGCAGATTCCGATAAATATGTAGGAGAGGCACAGAGTACAGATCTCAGTCTCTTACAGCAGAAGTAAAAAATATAGAAATGGTAGGACGTGGACTCGCTCAACTCTACCCCTGCACATTTACGTCCTTGCTTTCCTCCCCAAATAGTGTCAAGACTGCAAATGATCCCTAGACAGAGAGAGGAATGGGAGCTGTCTGTTAGGAAAGAGTCATTTTGAGAAAACGTGCCCCTGAGTTTCACACACAGTTTCTTCTAAACAGTCAAAATTAAACCTACTGCTGAGTCACGGGGAATATTTAATAAAGTTATGTCCACTAAGAATGTACTTTTGTAGGGATAAAAAGGTCTTTAACCCGGGTTTTGACTGTTGCCACTCTGATTCAATAAGATTGGATTTAAATAAAATCCACCCGAGCAATATTACAATGTAGCTAAAGACCAGGGAAAAGCAATGCATGGCTGACATTTCTGGAACCTTTGCCTTCTTGGACTGCAAATCAAAGTCAGTTCATTCATCTGCGTGAATCTGGATGTGTGGTTCCAGGCGATCAGCTCAGCACACGGCACCGTTTGCTCTGCCGTCAGGCTGGGCCTGGGCCGGTGCCGACGGAAGCCCGGGCATCGCAGCCAGCCTGCGGCACGGCCGCTGTCAGTCAAACAGCCTCGCTGGCAACAATGAGCACATCAGGCGCAACACACATCCGCGCTCTCTGTTGGGGAAAAACCACGATGTGGCACTGGCGGGACAGGCAGGAAAAGACAAGAGATACCAGGAAATGAGACCATTATATGGACTTCGCATCATCACTTCCATCACTAAAGGAGAAACGGCAGAATAACCTTTTCCTGAAGGTGAAGATTAGCATTATTTTTGCTCATAGGAAAAAAAGTAAGAAAACCACAAAAATTATGAGAGCGATGCCTGCACATAGGTTTTTGTTTATTTCTGGTCACACCCAGAGTCTACAGCTGTTGAACGGCGGTACCCCCTTCCTAGCCATACAAACACGGTACCCTCTCAAAGGAGGAGAAAGGGGATTCTGCAGAGGTTCTTCACAAAATCCAGCCAGGAATTCAAAAACAAAAAAAAATTAGCTCATTTGCTATAGTGG